ATTCTTTTAAGAATAATGATCCTTATATTTAGTTTGTGATTCAACATGTAATAATACAAAGAACATTATAATTTGTTTTAACTTTGAATTTTATACTTGATTTCCTATCTAAAAAACAATTTGATATTCCATTTTCTATCTATTATATATACTACAAGGATGAAAAATATAATTAAACCTAGAAATATAACTTAAATTAAGAGGAATATAAAAAGAGATTAAAAATAAAATTATTTTTTGGGAATTTTTAAGGTTTCACTCTCTCCTTATTGGTCCATTTAGCATTTATTTTTTAATAATAATATTTATTTTTAATTAAACCAAATATCTAACACATTTAGTCATATACTTTAATTCATACTTGAAATCCACACTTTACTATTAAATTGTAACTTAAATTATATAACCTTTCAATTGACTATTTGTTTCCACCATTTAACTTCAATTAACACACTATAAAATATAATTATAACTCCTCTGATTTAAAGGGGGAATTTCAAAAATACCCCTTTTCCAATAACATTTTTAAAAAATACTCCTCTTTCTAATTTTATCAAAAAGTCACTATAAAATTTGAAATTTATCAAAAAAATATGTATAAACTTGTATTTATAGACACAAAATATCTTTACATGTGTGTAAATATATATATATTTCATAAGTACCATATAAATACCTTTTAAAAATCATATAAAAATCTTATATAAACTTTGTAAACCTTTTAAAAACCTTATAAAACTCATATAAATACCGTTTAGAACCTTTTAAAACCATCAAAATATTTGGATTTAATCTCCCAGTAGTAATAATGATCTTGATGTACCTTATCAACCATGTAAAAGTTTATAATTTTTCATATTTGAAAAGGGGTATTTTTGAAAATGGATAGAAAAGAGGAGTATTTTTAAAAAATGGTACACTAAAAGGGGTATTTCTCAAAAAATCTCTTAATTATTTTAGAATTGTAACTTACATCATATTTTATCCTATAAATACTCATTTTTACCTCCTCCTCCACCATATCTGATATTCTCAATATTTTCTTTGTTTAATTTTTAATGTTCTTGCATGGGTTGAAAGTTCAATTAAGATATCATTGTAAGAGCTTGATTATATATTTGGTTAAAACTTTTGTTTTCAATTATATTTCTTCTTTATTTTATGTACTTCTTCATTTTTCATTTTTTATACTATTAAATGTATAATACATATGTATAATAATATTTTATGGCTATAAAGAAATTACTTTATTGTTGGGATTTAAAAATATTGATTTCTGACCATCGCACCATAAGAAAATCAAGCTAAATAAACCATTTTCATTGTTTTACTTTATATG